CATCCACACACACACACACTCATACACTACGGACAATTTAGCCTACCCAATTCACCTGTAGCATGTCTTTGGACTGTGGGGGAAACCGGAGTACCCGCAGGAAACCCACGCGAACGCAGGGAGAACATGCAAACTCCACACAGAAACGGCAACTGAGCCGAGGATCGAACCAGCGACCCAGCGACCTTCTTGCTGTGAGGCGAACGTGCTACCCACTGCGCCGCAACGTCGCCTTGTCTTATTCAAATTAAGGCAAATAATTTTGTTATTGATGTCCATGTAAACATAGTCAATGAAAGTTTTTTTTTTTTTTTTTTTTTTTTTTAACCTTGCATGCATATCAGCCTGTTGTTGGAGACCGCCAAAACCAAAATAAGTACTTTTATAATGCATAATATGTGCTCTTTAATTCTGAAGGCCCCTTTGAATTTGGTTCGAGCACTTTGGTTTGTGATGACCCTTTAAAACTGAGGCAATGTAAATTCTCACTCCTACCTTTGCAATGCATGTTCATCACATTTGTAACCAAGCCTTGATGAGTGGATACTTTAATCATCCACTCAACTTCAAATACAATAAATTAATCAATGAAATAAACTATTGTATGTATGCATTGTTTAAAAGGGACCTAAACCCTTTTTTACAAAATGTAAAATATGTCTCATTTACAAATTATTTGAAACTCACCCATTTAGGCTTTGATACAAATTGGTGACTGTCACTTTAAATTCAAATGGATTTCTGCTTTCAAAATAGGGCGGAGCTACTGATTTCTAGGCATCATCATAGCAGCAGATTAAAAACAGGACTAACATTATCTGTGTAAAAAAACTGTCAACAGAAGTGGCTTAGATCTAAAAAGCTCCACATTTATAATGCACCTAAGTGGTTGACATGTTAAACTTGTACAATGTGTAAAACTATGCTGTAATTGTGAAGGGCTGCTTCTTGTTTAGGGCTGTCTATGTTAATGAGGGAGATATCATCACTAAAGGGTGGGCCTTTCCCCCTCTGATGACATATAAAGGGAGAATCTCAATAAAGTGTTTCAGCAGACTGTTTAAGGAGTATGATTATGAAAAAATGTCACACTTTATTTTGATGGTCCGTTTGTTAAGTTTAAGTTCCATTACATCCACATGCCAACTAATTCTCATTAAATTAAAAGTAGACTGCTAGATTGGAGTTATGGTTGGGGTTAGTGTAAGTTGACATGTGCTTGCAAAGTTTCTTTTGGTCAGTTAAATGTCTGTTTAGCAACAGTATCAACAGATATTAAGCAGACAGTCTACTAATATTCAAATGGAACATCAATTAAAATAATTCATTGTTACCATTAGATGCTGGCTATGTTCAAAAACTGTTGCCTCAAAATTGTTTAAATCTCTTAAAAAGGGATTTTTTGCATAATAGGTGCCCTTAAAAAACAAACTACCATTGATTGGTTTGAAAGTTTTCATTGGCAGTGGAAATGGCTTTTTGATTTTAGTCTAAATACACAATATTTCTTAAACATATGCTGATGAATCATTAGCAGTATACGATAGAGAATGTTTATTGTATCATATACACTAACTGAGGATTCATACTATGAAAACTGTAAACTCCTTCTACCTTGTCTCCTGTCTTTGCTTTGACATTATCCAAAGGAGTAATGACAACAGAGCACATCAATATTCCATATAACAAACAGACCCACTCACACACACTGCTCCGCTGTGACATGAGGGCCAGATGTGGAGTTGAATTCTAATGAAAGCGACTATGGAGCTACAAGGGTTGCCAATGCATATGTGTATGTTTGATTTACCACACACTTGCTCCCTTGGGCATAGAGCTTTATAAATGCTTTGTTTGCACACACGCACACGCACGCACACTGAACCACAACAGAAATAGCAGCGGAACACATTGTACAGTAACAGCATCAAGAGAACGTCTCATTACTATCAATCTGGAGGGCATTTTAGTTTCAAATTAACTAACTAACTAAGAAATAAACACAATTATTTATGTGTTTGTTCATTTAGTCATTGTTTACTGGTTCAATAATATATGTAGTTTGAAAAAGAAATTTTTTCATAGATTTAGTTTTTTTATAGATTTATTGATTTTAAGCCTATATCCCACTTAATATGATGTCTTTGTAAATAAAAAAAAAAACATTAAAAAATTATAATCTATAGTAAAGATATAAACATTGTAAAAAGTGAGTAAACATGTTGCCATGTAATCATATTATGTAAATTAATGATGTGGATAAATCTAAAAAAATAAGTCAACCTAACAGCTCCAAGGTTAAGAAAATAACACAAAGCCAACATGCAAATGAATTGGCATTTTAATTATGATTGTCTTTTAATAATTTAAATTGTGTGCCTTTGGTTGCATTTCCAGTTCAGCATACACTATTGTACTGCGTTCCAGACAAAGTTTTAATTTTATCAGTAAAATGTTTCACTTCCGACCTCAATGCGTTCCAATCAATTGTGCATCAAGATGGGTGGTGGCATGGTGGCCTTTTTGAAGTTGGTCATCTTGGATCCAACTTTTGTTTTGTTCAATAGGAAGAGAGTCATTTGACACCAAACAAATTGGGAATTTCACAAGAAAAGCAATGGTGTGCTTGGTTTTAACGTAACTTCATTCTTTCTTGAGTTATTTACTAGTTTTTGATCACTTATAAAATGTGTTCAATGTGCTGCTCATTGTGTTAGATTGTCAATGCAACCCTCTTCTCCCACTCTTCACACACTAATACCCTTGCTTATTTTAGTCAACAAAATGTGCATAAGTTTAGTATTTAGTGCAAGTTGGTGCTACTTTGCCTTGTGGTGAATGCAAAAAAATGACTGTATTATTATTAATAATGATACTTGTTTAGAACAAAAGTTCGTAACATACAAAAACGTAAAAAAAATAATCTTTACCTATGAAATGTTTTGCCTTTGTTTTGTTTTTATTTGTTTACTCGTAACTACACCCGTACACAGCGCTAAAGTTCAGCATCTTCAAGTAGGCACACTGTCTTGACCAGTGCAGTTAATTTGTCCTGGGAGCACTGAAAGGCAGAAGAAAATGATACCACTATTGTCTGTGCAATGTACAAAAAATGCAGTTATATCTATAGACATGTATGAGTAGCATAAATGGCCACCAAAACAACGACTTAGGAGTTTGTGTATAGAAGAATGTTTATGTGTGCCTTCATTTTCTTTTCGGCTTAGTCGCTTAATTCATCAGGGGTCGCTACAGTGGAATGAACCGCCAACTTATCCAGCATAAGTTTTACGCAGCGGATGCCCTTCCAGCCACAACCCAGCACTGAGAAACAACCATAAACACCCATTCACACACACACACACACTATGGATGATTTAGCCTATTCAACTCTATAGTGCATGTCTTTGGAATGTAGGGGAAACTGGAGCACCCGGAGGAAAACTACACAAACACATGGAGAACATGCAAACTCCACACAGAAATGCCAACTGACCCAGCCAAGGCTTGAACCAATGAAATTCCTGCTGTACGTTTACACCGCTACCCACTGCACCACCAAGCCATACCATGTTTATGTGGGCAGTTGTGAGGTATTTTTATTTCCTTCTTTCTAGAAAGGGACATATCCAAAGACTGGCCTAGCACCCAACAGATTTTTTTTTTTTTTACTTTTCTTTTTGTGAATATTTATGACTGGGGCTCATTCTGACAACATTGTTGTCTGTTGCTGTGTTTATGCCATGACATAATTACTCTAATTTCATTATCTATAATTCTCAGCTGTTCACAGCCTCCAAATGACAATAGTTTAAATGACAATAATACGGACAACAAAACATAATGTCTAACTGTGAATACACTGGTAAGGCAGTATAGTGGTCACATAAACAATTGTGGCTCTCAGAAAATTCCCAGTTCACATGTTTACAAGAATGTGAACACTTTTAACATGTTGGAATACAAGTAATTTTCACTGTGCAAATGCACATCAGAACTAGGATGTCAAAATACTGACCTCAACCTATCAATACTGTAATTTTTAAACATGTCAGATTAGAACGCTATTGAGCACGTTTTCAAAAACGTTCAACAGATATGGCTGTGATTGGCTATGAAGGTCATCACCTCACCACTCTTCTCTGAGCGTGAACACATACAGTACATGGACACTGGAGCATTTGAAAGCCACATCCATCAGCTGTTCTGTCAATAAGCATATACCTGAGCAATCATAGTGGATAAATGGACATTCTTGTTTTTATTTATTACTTTTTTTGGTGATGAGGGCTGATGGTGATACAAGATTTAAGTGCATGTCATGTAATTGTTCATTCGAATTCCATATTCACCTTGATAGCATTGTTAAAAAAATTCACAAACCAGTATGGTAAAGGGAAAACAAGGTTTAACAGTTTTATTCATATAAAATATGTACATTAATATTCATTATCCATGGGAATTTACAAATATATTTATACAAAATCTCCTTGCAAGGGTTTGTCAGTTTGTGAATGATGCTTAGGGAACCCACCCACACACACACACACACGTGCACACACACATTTATGCACTCATACACACACACACACAGACAGTTACAAATTCACATGACACATTTGTATTGCATACTGAAATAAATAAAAAACATACAGTATATACAGGAATTACATGACTGCAAACAAATATCTCTACAGCATATTGAGCACGCACCACACAAAACCCTCCAAAAATTAAATGACATTTCCTTTTAAAGAGCTGGAATTGTATTTTTTTTTTTCCTCATTGACTCCTCGTCTGTTACAATCGACACAATGGGGATACAAACAGCAAAATTCCATGCTTAACAAACACATGCAAAACCACAAGCAGTTGTACTGAGTCAGGCTTATTTACAAGTCAAACCAAATTAGTCGTAACATGCAATATTGAATTAAAGAGGCTCCATTTGCAGTGTTTAGGGTGTGGGTAAGTCTTTTTTTCTCTTTTCTTTCTTTTTTTATAGTGAGGATGCCATTAAAAGCATGCCTTTTAGGCATGTTAGGCTATATTTGCACGTCTTTTGCTTTTAACCCTACAGCTTTTGCTTTTGATTCACAACTTGGTCTCACAAATTCAATTTTAATTAGTATGTGGAAGTCAATCCTCCCAACAGGAAATGAATGGGTCTTCGAATATCATAACGTCAATCACAATTTGATCTTCAGATTACAGCACGTCCCCATGTTGAGTTATGAGGCAGCTGACTGGCTCAGGTTGACATTGTGATTCATAATGAACTGTTCTTTGGTTCTTCTGGTTCTCCGTGTTCCTGAGGGGTCAGTTCTGATCCAGGATGATGTATTGCGTTTCAGTGACGTTCAATCACTGACCTTAGATGGTGTTTCTTAATCCTGGGTTCTGCAAAGTTAAATATACACTAGAGTCAGGAGAAGAAAAGCAATTCATCTTAATTACATGATTTATTGCTTGACCTTCACATCGAGAGACGGGGCCGCTTGAACATGACATTTGACCTCTCATAAACCCCCCTGACCTTTTCCTTCCGATGAACAAAAATGTCTTTTCAGCTCCCCATTATTAAAATTAATGTCTCAGGTTGTAGTTCTCAGAGATTACAGATACCTCAAAAGTTGTTCAGTGATAAATGATAAAAAAGTAGGAGTGATGGTGCAGCATGACCTAACAACATGCGATTTAAAAATATTCAAGCAACAATTATTTTAGCTGTATTTACTAGATGCAACATACACTCAGAAAGGCAGAATAGACTCTCAACTAAATGGTCTTTAGCATTATTAATAGTACATGCTGAGCAACTGATGTTGTTTGTTTGCACTGAGTCACAGTTCTAACATTCATTTTCAAACTATATGTTTGCTAGTTATTTTATTTGCAGGATCAGAGGTGAACTATCTGCCTCCACTTTCGGCATGGCAATAAATGTCATGTAAAATGGTATTCAAACTCACAATAGTAGCATTTAAAACTATACAAAGCACCTACTCATCATCTGAGATTATTATTGTCATTGTAGTTTATGCTGTCATTCAGCAGCGACGTCACAGAAATGGAAACCATTTGTAAAATAGAAATTTTGTGAGCCACTGTCACAGACGGTTAAAACAAAAAAACTCTTCTTAACATGGAAAAGATCAATGTATTACCCCATGTATAGTTTGAACATGGTGTAACATTGAATAAAATAACTCACTGTAATGCAGGACAGGCTTGCTGTGAGTGGGTGTCTGAAAGGTTCTGGATGTTGCTGGTCCTTGTCCTGCTGCAGTGATCACCTGCACCTCAAGTCTGTAGAGCGATGCTAACTGAAGGCCAGAAACTACCAGGATGTTGCGCTCCTAGATGTGAGGAAACAGAGGTTTTTAGTATCATTTTAAATTCAGAAATAATTACAATTATTTTAAAAAGTACAATGATTTGTTTTATTTTTATTAGTAGTGCAATGTGTTTTAAATGTTAATATTTTCTGTTTTAACTTTGCAATACTTCTTTAAAATATTTTTTGCTTGTTTCTTTTTATGTCCACAAAGCTTCAAATAATTATACATTTTAGTCTTTTAAGTTAAGTTTAATTATTATTGGGTAATCATTATAAGATAACAAAAAATGTATTTGTGTATGTGTGTTAACATTTAGTTACCACAAAAAAGGGCTTATTAAGGCTATGATAATTCTGTTAATGCAGCATTTTGCATAAATATTAATACATTTTAAAACATTAGTATATCGCAAATTCCTGTGATGGGAAAGCTGAATTTTCATCATCAATACTGTAGCCTTCTGTCAAATGACCACTAAGAAATTGATATATATATATATATATATATATATATATATATATATATATATATATATATATATATATATAAGAAAGTATTTTTATATATTATCAATAGCAATGTTTCCATCCACCTATTTTTATTTGCATTTTGGATATCCAAAATGTGCATAAAAAAACGTATGTGCATAACTAAGTAGGATAAACTTTTTTTTCGATAAGAAAAGATGCACATAAACAGCGATGGAAACACTTTTACCATACAAATTTAGTATGCGCATTAAAAAATGTCATGTGATTTGGTTATAAGGGATCACATGATAATCAAAATATGAGCGAATGGACAAACCAGTCAGGTGACAACATTGTAATACATCTGAAATATTGTTTTGGTTATTCTAAAACAACTTAAAAGTTTTAGTTATAGTGTTATTATATTAATAATGACGTCCAGAATCAAGAGTGTCTGTGCTCCACATCTGACATCTTCAAAAGCCACCGTGTGTTTACTGCATGTCAGGATTGCCTTGTGAGGCGCAAGTCATTTATTGAATGAACAAAACATTCACGCAGCTTCAACTACCGCAGCAAATTTCATCTTTACTGTTGATATTTGGTGCTAGTTAATCAGGAAGTAATGATTTTTGTTCGCTTTGACTTGTTGGATGGAAACGCTGCTTTACTCGCACATCTTTTATGCGATAATCCAGTTTTGCGCATAAAGTTTATTTGCATTTTTGGATGGAAACATAGCTAATGTTGAAAACAGCCATACACTGTACATGCCTTAATCTTTTCTGGATTCAATCCATTTCTTATTTGTTTCCCAAAAAAATAAAATTATAAAATTTTTAATTAGATTTGAACACTGAAGAACTATGATTTGAAATCACAATTAATGCAGTATATATGACATCTATTTAAGTAGTGTCTATATTAATATATGTAAACAAGGGTAATGACTTAACAGCATTTGGAACAGCACAATTTTAGAAAAACAAGAACTGAGTTTAGAACAGTACGAATTCCCACTAGAAGATGCTCACTAGAATCCAAAACAAAAAGAAATCGTCACCTTGGAAGTAAAAGGATAATCTAGTATAATCATCTGAATGATTTTGAGATATTGAGCTTCAAAGTTTTTGCATTCCATATAGCAAACAATATGTGTAATAGTTCTCGTTTCATATACTAACATAACAGAGACCATAAATGTACTCTAAATTTACCATACAAGGCTGTGCTAAATATTTTATCCAGTGTTAGTTTTAAGTAATTAATTTGTTAATATTTATTACATGCTTTATATGAATTATTGAATTATATGTCATATGAATTCAATTAATTATTTGCCTATCCAGGCTTAATATTACATTTAAAGAGTTTAAAAGTAAACAGAAAATGGGCAAATGAGTTTAATAAACACTGAAAAATGTTTCACTGACGACATATACACATAAAGATATTTCATATTTAATACATATTTTTTTAAGAACTTTTTTTTTCAACAATGTAAAATTTAACATTTTATCTCAATGTGTCAAAAAATGTTTCTAAATCATCACATTTACACACAGCTTTTCAGTTTCAAGTTTCTGCTCAATTTTATGTGGTGCGGTTCTATTTAGTCGATAAATTTTGTGTAATTTTGTCTATCTTGTCCTTCCTGCTGTCAACAGAGCAGTCCGGCGAAATGACAACAAAAGCTGATCCTGATTGGTCCTCGTGCGTGCATTCAAAATGCTGATTAGCTCACAGAAAAAAAAAAACCTTATGCAGCCAAGCTCGATTTCGACTTTGTAGATAAAACCTTTTTTGTTTTTTAAATAAAAAGTCTTCAAATGTAAACAACTTATAAAAAACATCCCATAATGTAAATAAATTGTCACTTAGTAAGAATATGTGAATAACCCAATTTTGACAAAAATGTCAGATAAAACCTTGTAATTCTAAGGTGACAAAATGCTAGTCGACCAAAATTTAATGCTAATAGTGTCAATAATGCATTGACTGTGCTCTTGGAATATGACTCACTGGTGGCAGAATTTGAGACTGGGATATGAGGCTGTTGGGCAGATTATTCCTCCGGCTCTCCGTGATGACCTCTGCCCATGTGACCTGATACCCTGTGACCTGCTGTGGCTGCTGAGGCATGGCCACTACCCATGAGAACAGGCCTGTCACGTTCCCCAAGTAGACTGAAAATGCTGCTGTCAGGTTCTCTGCCTTGACCAGGACCTTTGGCTGAACCACTGCTTATTGAGAAAACATAACAGAACAAAACATTGATCATTTAAAGTGTGCTAGAATGTTGTTATAGCCTTTTTTTTCATATTGTGACATCTGAGAGCAACAGCTTCTGGAATGAGAAAACAAAATGTAGAAAGCGACATGATTTCAACCTTGAGAAATTGATTGGATCATTGAAAGTTTACTAAATAAAGGCAGATATCAAAATTATTGTATTATAAATAAACTCTGTATTATAAAAACTGTTTTTGCATGTTGATTTGAATGTTTTGCATGTAAATAAAAAATTTATAAGTAGGCCCACACAGAATCTTTTTAGTCCACCATTAAGTCCATCTATTTACTTGTGTAAATGTGTGTATATTTTTGTTTATTCAGTTTTTAAATTTCAGTTTCAGTTTTAATTTCAGAAATATTATTGACTAATATGAATGTGTTCATTTAGTTTATTTACAATACAATTTGTAAAGTAATATTTTCTATCTTTTAGTAGAAATATTAGTTGAGAGACTTGCTTTGTTTACCAAAAAAGTGGACCTGATTAGATTGCATTGTAAACATTAAATAAACATTATAAGGTATTTAAATTTTTATTTAATTAACCATAAAAGTTAGGATAGTCTCAAAATAATTCTGCATAAATCCGCAGATTTCTTTTTCAAAACTCTCAGCAGATATAGCAAAAATGTTTGCAGATTCTGTCTGGCCCTATAAGTTATAACACAGCAAATTTAAAAATACTAAAAATAACGGATGGATGGATGGATGGATGGATGGATGGATGGATGGATGGATGGAAAAATTAAAATGGATGATTTTGTGTGGGATGTATGGGTGGAAAAAATGGAATAGATGATTTTGAGTGGGATGGATGGATGGATGGATGGATGGATGGATGGATGGATGGATGGATGGATGGATGGATGGATGGATGGATGGATGGAAAAAATTTAATGGATGATTTTGTGTGATGGATAGATGGGATAGATAGAAAAGATGGACTGGATCATTTTGTGGAATAATGGATGGATGGATAGATAAATAAAAACAACAACATACAATGCTTTGTTGCATACACTTATACATACAAATGTTGATATGATAAATTTCATAAATGGTTTTGAGGATTACGCTAACAATCTGTAGAAATATAGTCATGTATTTGTATAAAATGTCTGAATCACCTGGGACAGAGGAGCATGGGATTGGTTTGGGACTCTTGCTCTGGATAGTAGCACAAGACGGGGTGTAGAAAGTGGTGCTTTCCACTTGGGCTCGGCCCTTTAACCCCACAGGCTGGATGATCACTTTATACTTGCACGAAAACTGAAGACCGGAAAGGCTGGCAAAATTCTCCTGTTCAGCAACAAGAAAAAAGCAAAAGTGAGACTTTATTCAACTTCATAGAAGAATTCAAGGAGAAACATGATGACAGATCACCTATCAGCACATGCAGCATAGCTGAGGGCCACAATGGGAAAATCTATAGTTCATGTTTTGCATATGTCAAGTAAGATTAATTTTCGTGCCGATAAAAGATATTTCCCCCTTTTTTCAGCATGTCATGGATTTTAACACCATCTCTCGCTTTGTAAATTGCACAATCAAACTGATGAAAATTTAAATCACAAAGAATGTTATTTCTTCCTCATGTTTTTTTTTTTTTTTTTGCTGCAATTTACTGAAGAAACCATGCTGGAATTGGGATGTGCTTTCAAATAGTGAGTCATGCAGCATGAATGATCAATGAACAGCACATACACACTTCCTCCCTGGATATTCGTCTTATGTATGAGCTGTCAGAATGTGGCCTCGCACCTGTAGGGAGGATATAAGACACATTCCTGACTGTTTTTTACCTGGGTGATGAGCTTCTCCTGGGTTCTGGATCTGTTGTGACTGCAGAATTCTGGAGCCCACTGCACACGGTAACGATTCACGGTGGGATCTGAAAAGGAAAGACAGTGAAACATGAACTGTCAGATTTTGAAATGTGATTATGCAGCGCTTTGAGCTTCTGCTGTCCCGCTCCACTCACATTTGCTGTTCCAGACCAGCTTTCACACTCTGAAAAATATGCCTTTTGTTGCTTCTTCAGACTACTTATTTAAAATGAGCTGACCTTCTTGCTGTGAGGCGACAGTACTACCTACTGCGCCACTGCCTCACCTTAATAATTATAATAATACTAATAATAATAATAATTATAATAATAATGGGTGGTAAGAAGATCACTGGTTCGAGCCTCGGCTGGGTCAGTTGGTATTTCTGCGTGGAGTTTGTATGTTCTTCCCATGTTGGCATGGGTTTCCTCTGGGTGCTCTGGTTTATTTTCCCTTCAGTAAGCTAAATTGTTTGTAATGTATGTGTGTGAATGGGAGTGTACAGGTGTTTCCCAGTGACGTGTTGCAGCTGGAAGGGCATCTGCTGCGTAAAACATATGCTGGATAAGTTGCCGCTGTGGTGACCCCAGATTATTAAAGGGACTAAGCCAAAAAGAAAATAATTGAATGAATGAATTAAATAATTAACAAATTAGTTAATTGATAATAATAATAATAGCAATTATTATTATTATTATTATTATCATTATATTATTATTCATTATTCATTCTGTGATCATTTTAATTTTGTGGTTGACTATCCCTATTAACCCACATGAAGCTTTGTGATAAATATGTAAAAACTTGATAAGTCTTCCATTCATTTTTCATAAATCTTTTTAGAAAATTTTCTCCTGGTAACAATCAATGTAGACCTTACAAAATTCTATGTTCCATAAGACATCCAGCAGAAAAATATTCTTTTTTTTTTTTTTTTTTTTTGCATTAATCCAGAAAATATGCAAAACCAAACAAAATATGCAAAGCAATCTTGATAATGTGCCTGGCAGATAAGGATAAGATAAATCTGTTGGCCGTCCATTAGAGAGATTAAGGGATTTGACATGTGGCCAGAGTGACTCTTAAGTTATTGAAATGCAAAAACATCCTTGCAGAAGATTCCAAGCACCATTGTGTACGGTTCGCTATAAATGAAAGGCTTCCGTTTCTATGACAGTTTTCATTTCTGAGTTTAATAAAGGATTAACTCATCACTCAGTGGCAGAAAAACACTGTTTAACTGTAATTTCCCGAAGTTAGGCCGAGACATGCCTCATCAGCTCGTGTTAGCACACAAACAGGTTCACGCTTCTTTCAAAAGTCACTTCCCAAACAAAGAGCTATTGTTCTTCATTTAATTGCACATTATTCTGATTCTTAACTCTTTAATAAGCGGTATGTTTACATAATTACAAAGCATAGCTTGGGGGAAGAAAGACGTTCGGCACAGTAAGAGAACAAAATTTTTTTTTTAAAAAAGTGGTTTATTGCATCTGTCATACCTTTCTTTTTCCAATAAACCCGAACCTGAAGCTGTCCATCTTGATAGAATGGAGTGCCCACGTCTAGTAGATCTGACTGGGGCTTTATAAAGACCGGACTGACTGTGGGCTCCAAATCTGAATGACATCAAATATGGGAGAAAAGTATAATGTTACAAATGGAAAACATTTACAGCTGTGTTCACTGTATTTCACAACACCCAAATGAGTGCTGTTATGTATCAAACAGAAAAAAAAAACATAAGGCAATTAAATAGTTTTGTACCAGATTGTGTTTGGCTTGTAGTAAACTGAAGAATGGCCTTGGAGCTTTTGAGCGGGACCTGACCCCAGTATGAAACTGCCTGGAGCTCCACAGTATAACTCCCGTTCTCTCTTAAATCATCCAGCTCAGCATAGGTAGAGTCCTACACACACATTAAACCCACATGAATACTTTAGAAGAGTCACAGCAATCCAAACACACAGAATCCTCAAGAACAAATGGTAGCGGAATAAAAAATAGACTACTTAATAATAAATTAAGCTCATTTCAGGTTGAGTACCCAAAATGACATTAAATTAATGCCTAAATAATTAAACCCTTGGCAATACCTAATTATAAACTGAGGATTTGAAGAACATGCTTCCAGAATTAATTTTAAAACCCTAAATGACCAATATTGGGTGCAATTTGCTGATTTTAGGACATTTAGACGAGTAATTAGAGAATATTAGATAAAAATGTAAAGTTCTTTAATAATTATAAAAAAAAACTACATCTTATATGCTGTAATAGATTATTGTAAATATGTTTTAGCAATTAAACAAACAGTTCACCAAAAACTAAAAATACCTTTGTTCTTTATTCTGTTAAACACACACAAAAAATATATATATTTTGTCTTCCGTTTCCTACCATGAAAGTCAGCGATTACAGGTTTTCAGCTTTCTTCTAATTGCCCGTTTCCACTGAGTGGTATGGTATGGTATGGTATGGTTTCATGGCTGTTTCCACAGTAAAAAGGTACCTAAAAGTGAATCGTACTGTTCCACTTTTTGGGTACCCTTTGCAAAGGATACCTAGCACGGCAAAAGGGTACCAAAAGGCGTAGCTAGACGTGCAGCTGAACGCTATTGATTTACGGAGAAACGTCACTCGTGTATACGTACACAAGCAGGAGAAGGAAAACAAAGAAACTGCCATTTTTAAATACACAGCCGAGACATTACATCATAATACTATATGCATAGAATAACAAGCCATGGTTGACCCGAGCTTAAACAACCTTGTCGTTTTCTTGATGGACAACCACAAAGCCAAGAAGAGCAAAATCTGCCTTGTCCTGTTATTGTTTTCCAGAGAACTCGCGATCGCTCGTTTGTGCATCTATATTTGAAATAACGAATTTCTTGAGCCGATGATAATAACGTGCACGTGATTATAGAAGTGTTTATGACATCTGATCCTTTCAGAAACTGACAAACACGAGAGTGAAGTGCGAAAAAAAAACAAAGGAGAAGCCGGAAAAAAAAAAAAAAAAAAAAAAAGTTCTTTCAGCAACATTAAACATAAACAAACTGCCATGATTATTATCATCACCAATTGGACTATTATGAACTCGGAATGACGGAATTACTTTCCAACAAGTGGTTAAATGTGCTGGTGAAGATTAAAGATGTAGATGAGATGTTTGCTCTGACTGTTTTCGAACCCAAATAAGGACTAAATGTGTGCTGTGTGTAGTTTATCTATAATTGGTAACATATCGGAGACTGTAAGGGTTTGTATGTGTTCATATATGTTGAATTTATTTATTTATTTTACATAATCGCAGACATTACAGTAGACTATTTTCATTGATCTGCAGTTATAATCAAATCATGTTCATAGAAAAGTTAGTGATGAACATTTATACACAAGTATTTATGTGTATAAACATCTGTTTTGTGAGAAGTGCTTCTCATATGATATGTGAACGACCTGTACACCTTTACTTTGTGCGAGATTTTTGCTTGACGTTGACTGAAACTTTCTGTCGTACACCATGCCCACTCTTGGTACCCTTTTGGGAGTGGAAATGCAAGGCTTATAAAGGTGACCCAGATCGACCCATATGGTACAAAGCGGTACCAGTCAGTGGAAACGGGCCATAAATATCTTGTTTTGTGTTCAACAGAAGAAAGAAACTCATAAAGGTTTGAAACCTCTTGAGAGTGAGTAAAAAGTCATTGAACTATCATAGTAAGCTATCCCTTTAAGAAAATGAATATGAATGTTTTACGCTTATTTCAGTTTCTTTTGCTAAGTTAGATTACTCTGCTATAATTTACTAACTTGGGATTTGAAACTGAAGCTGAGTCACACTTACTAATAATCATATAAATCATAGTAATATTTCGTGCCAATGAAAAAACTGTAATGTTATTACAATTTTGTGCAGATCGCATTGTAATCTTATAATTACTGTGCACTAGGGTAAAATCCATCTGTTTAAAAATCATCTCGCAGCATTTTTTTTTTATCATCTAGCACAGTTTAACAGTGAAAGCAATGTGGTTTGCATTTGTCTGCATTCACTCAACAGCTAGCCAAAATAAAAGTAGTCTTCTGAGGAAATTTCCATGTCCCTCAGCTGACAAAGCCCTCAAAAATATAACATGCAAATATGAATTAAGCAGAGGACCTGCCATCCCTTGGATTCCTAAAGGAGAGTAAAAAATAAACTCTTCAATATGATCTCACTCAAAGAAAAACAATTCTTCTGTTATTGAGAGATTTCCTTTTCTCAAGCACAACTAGAATTGATATGCTGTTTTTGGCTGCATATCAAATATCGCCCAGAAAAGTTTGCATTTGCCAAGAGCGGTGATGCAATGCTGTACCACCCTAGTTTGGTGTCTGAAACCTGCAAATGTATAGGGCTTGGTGTGATCAAAGGGCCGATTCTGAGTTGTTTATCTTGCACTTATTTGCACTCAGATATCTAATTTGTTGTGGCTTGCTGAAAGAAAGGGCTGGGGAGATTAACCCTTGAGGGATTTTGGGACCAATCCAGTATATGAAAAAATGAAAGCATAAAAGTCTGAGAGGAAAAAAGTAAAAAAGGTGTAAGCAGAGCATCTGAATTTACCCCGTTTACAGTCTCTCTCTTCTTGAGTTTGGGTGGCAGAGTGTGGTCAGAGGAGCTCCAGGAGAGCTTGTAGTGGTTTACTGGGATGTCTAAATCTGCAGAAATACTCCAGCTGAGCCGGACAGACGCCGAGTGATCCGCACCAAAGGTCATGTCGCTAACATGAAGATCAGATGGCGCCGGGGGAGGGGGAGGATCTGAGAAAGGGTGAAATCAAGAAATAAAATATTGCAAAACGCACAGTACATGAGCACATCTTAGTAAAATGTGGTACAAAATAATTTGATTACTATTATTATTGGTAACACTTTATTTTGATGGTCCAGTTGAGTATTAGTAGACTGTCTGCTTAATATCTGTCAGTACTGCAGCTAAACAGACATTTAACTGACTATAAGAAACTTGCAAGTACATGTCAATTTACACTAACCCTAACCCCAACCTAACAGTCAATTTATAATCTAATGAGAATTTGTTGGCATGTAGATGTGATGTAACAAACTCAACAAGCGGACTATCAAAATAAAGTGTGACCTTATTATTATTATTAATATTAATATAATAATAATAATAATAATAATAATAATTATTATTATTATTATTATTATTTTTAGTAGTCGTACATTAATCATAAATAGTATTGATGTTTTCTTGTTGTAATAGTAATATTATTTAAGAATAAACAAAATTCAGATCTGAATAACATAAGAATGAAAAATGGCATTGTTGTTGTTATCTGAAGCCCACCTTTAGATGATCTGAAGTGTCTGCTAGGGGTGGTGTATCCTCTGGTTCCATGAACATTGACCGCTGCCACTCTGAACTGGTACCAGCGACCAGGTCGTATGTCTGTCAGCCACACACGTTCTTCTGATGTCTACAGTATACAACCCCAGACTAATAAGGGATGGCATTTACATGCTTTTATAAATTATTTTATATTTCATTATCCTTAGAAATTTAAAATATGGTTGAAGACAAAATTAGAAAAAAATTAGAACTCCTGTGTAATTTTTTCCAAATATTTTCCAAATAATATTTCACAAAGTAAGGAAATAATTTGTGTTATTCCTATTATTTTTCTTTAGTATTTGCTATTATAGCTTTCGACCGGAGAAAGTATTTTTTTCTAAAAGTTTGGCTTAAATAAAAAAATAAAAAATAAATAAATGTTTACCAATATTATTATTCCCCTTAGATATTTTATTTATTAGCTACAGAAAAAAACACAGTTGTTCATCTAACAAACTTGCCTAGCTAATCTAATTAACCTAAACAAAACATTAAATTGCACACAAGCTGAATGTTCGTATCTTGCTAAATAATTAAGAAAATATAAAGTACTGTCATCACAGCGAATACAAAGGAAACTATTATAAACAATAATGTTTAAAAATGTGTCTCTCTGTTTAACAGCACTTGCAAAATATTTTAAAAAGAACAGTGATTTCTCAGAAAAGACAGTAGTTTTGTCGTCAATGATACTGTAAAGGCCAATTTATCATCCATTAAATTTCACAGACTTTTGTCTTTTCTTATAATTCATATTTTCGTTTTTCATAAAAATTTGGTTTGTCTTAATCATGAATGTCAAACACTGTTTAATATAGCTGTGGACTCTTGATGGTGTGAAACACATTTCACACATTTCACACTTACCCGTGCCACCACTTGCCACTCAGTGGCTCCATCTTCACTGGGGTGGATGCCGTAATTCCACCTTCTCTGCAGAACATTCAGAACTGGCTCTGCCGACACATTGAATTTGGAGGACCAGCGCACTTCCAACACACCAGACTCCAGCTCTTCAAACACCAGCTCCTTCCTGGGCTTCAGAGGAGCACCTGAACAAACAGCAAATCTCAACTTTACAGAGAACAGTCCATCAACTGCAACACAGTCTTACTTGTTACATTCTATTTACTGTGTCCTTTCCAATATGACACATGATTAGAACCTATATTTTAAACCACAGAGCATTTGTTTTGTAAAACAAAACTTCTCTTTAATTTAAAATGCAGTGAGTGATCTGCCTAAATGCTAACCGGTTAGCATAATATGTTTGAAACACAATCCCTCCCCTGACGTCCAAAGCCAGGCCACCTTATATCATGAACGCGGATCTTAAAGATGACAGAAACCCACCAGATTGTATCATTTGCCAGTTAGAAAACGTTATAGTACTTTATAGTACTACAATCACGAATGAAAAACTGTATTATATCTAGCACGGTTTTAGTTGTGTAATTAGCAAGCAAAACTTGTCATAATGTGCATTATTTCATAATGCGAGCAAGGATGGCTGGTCTCACTCTCTCATGCGCTTTGTTCTAAAGTGACTATATGCTTAGTGGTTGGCCGGTGGCATGCAGGATTTACACTTATTACTAAGTCATATTTTCATGCTATTTCAGAATGAATATTCAGAGTAGCATGGTAAACAATATAGAGACCACGTCACAGGTCGTCAAACTGCACCAATGTGAATATAAAACTAACTTCCCCTCAGTAAAGCAGGCTAAGCGGAATAGCGCTATTATCTTATGTTTTGTTGTTAAACTAAATAAAAATCTACACTATCGATGCTGTAAAAGGTCCCTTATGAAACTGAAAATAGTCACATCAAGCTTTCGCTGGAAGAATTATTGATTTAGGATTTCTAAAAGTTGATTCAGCATTTGTTTTTACCGTTGTCACTTGTGTCGACATGACTGCAGTGTACGTGCAACAGATGTGCGTGAACAGAAGTGCACAGTTGTACCAATCTACATTTGCTGACAGACAGTTTGGGCTACTTATCAGAATTATGGGATTATCAGCCTGACAATTTTTAATTGGATAAACATTTATTGCCTTATACCTTACCCAGAATCTAAACATACATATAATATATTTAGATCATTTATTTCAGTCATTAAAATTAGAATGTGAAGAGACTTTCATCCAACACAACAAAAAATGTTGCTGAAGACAATCACCTACTGCACTTCAAGAACTATTATGATTACAACCTGTGGAAAATGTTTGGTATTTTCAAATGCACAACATAGGCGACTCAAGATCACAGTACTTGCAGAGATGGAGTTCATGTCACTCTGAATCATGCAGCACGTCTGTTTACATGCTTGTATAATTCCAATGCAGTCTTTGTGATTTGATAATCGTGCTAAACCATATCCTGTTCTCAAGTTATGCCAGATTTAGACAACACAACATTTCTGTCTTTTTCCAGTCTGATTATGAGATTTTGACTCCTACACTCTAAAAAATAAAGATTTTAAAAAGGCCTTTTGACAGCAATGCTATAGAATAACCATTTTTGGCAGGTTTTTTAAAAGAACCATGTTATTGGCAGGAATAAAATTTTTAGGACATAAGAATGTTTCATTTTCCACATCGTAAAGAAACATGTTGCTACATCTTGCTTTTTCATTGTTTAGTCAATACATAAAAGCCACACCAATCTTAATGTTTTCTGTCTTTCATTTTGCAGTGCTTGAAAAAAAAGCTTCTGTGTAAAAAATCTTCTGTCCTTCTATTGGTCAGTATCACAGATGCTGTGGAATTCACTATTGTGGACCAGAATAAATACCAGTCTGGAATTTGTGAAGTGTCAAACAGACAGTGCACTGTGTTGTCATTTATGGCTACAGAAACTACACCCACACAATCATTTTCAATCGTTTCCCCCAAAAAAGTAAAAACTCTTTCGCCATTTATTTACTTTCCGGCTCTTTGAATTGTTGCAGCAGTATGTCGAAGAAAATAACCAAGGTTTTTATTTGTTTGGTTTTTTTAATGGACAGACAGCGAGGTGGAGTTGTTGCTTCAAGCAACACAGGAGTATAAAGTTGCAGAAGCGAGTGAGAATATAGACTGGGAGACGTGCCAAAACAACAGCTCTGAGTAAACATTCCATGTTCTTTGAAGAAAAATCTATCTGGAACATGTACAAACTGACATTAATCATTAACAATGCTGTCAAAAATGAAGAGCATCTAAAACAAATGTTTTACAATGTCCTTAATTGGTTTAGCTCAAATGCTTACATGACTAAAATGTGTCATCTTTTTAAAAAGTCTCAATTTTCACAGTCCACATTGTAACATGCATTGCTTCAACAGCATTTTCAGATGTATACATTTTGTGGAGCATTTTCAAAATGCTTAATATTTGTTGTCTAAAAATGCTGCCTTAATGTGGACAGAAGATCGAAACAGAAAAATATATATAAAATATTTTAAATATATATACAAAATATTTTAAATGAAAATGTATGCGTGTGGACAGCCTATGAAAATACCACTAAACACGATACTAATCTTATCTTACAAGTCCTTTCAACACCCTACAATATGTGCAAAGTGCTTTGAGTGTCTAGAAAAGCACTATATAAATGTAAGGAATTATTAATAATTATTATTATTATTACGATAAATCAAAATCTGCCGTCTAAACCTTACAATTTGTTATTTGTTAACACCAAGGTTGAGTTTAGAACCCTACACTCTCAGAAATGAAGGTACACAAGCTGTCACTGGGGTGGTACTTTTTTACAAGGTACAAATTTGTACCTAAAAGGTCAATATTAATACGTCAAGGGTACATTAGTATCTTAAAAGTACAAAAGTGCTCCTTTTAAAATTTTTAGGTACTAATATATACTTTCGAGGTACAAATATGTACCCTTTAAAGTACAAAGATTTACCTTCTGAAAAGTAACCGCCCCAGTTACAGCTTATGTACCTTTATTTCTGAGAGTGTACATACACGATAACATCTAATTCTAAAAAATTCAAAAAATTCTGAGTAATTTTAAACATTTAGCAAACCATTCTTCACTGTAAAACCTGGTAAGTTCAGATTAATACTTTGAGGTACCAGTTGCAACATTTGTTTTGAAAAAAACAACACTTTTTTTAAAGTTATTACAACTTTACATTTTTATTTTGTACCGGTACAATGTGATGCGTGTGATGCATGTCATGTAACATTTGAGTTCTTTCTCAACTTTGTATTAAATGCAATGTGCTTTCATTAATATTTGTGGGAAATAAACTCATCTTATTTTACAAGTTCACACTTACAGATATTTGGGTCACACTTTATAATAAGGTCCATTAGTTATTGCATTTACTAACATGAACTACATATGAACAATATTTGTACAGCATTTATTAATCATAATTTGACATTTACTAATGCATTAGTAACATTGAAGTTCATGCTTGTAAACATTAGTTAATGCACCGTATATTAACATTAACAATGAACAACTTTCATTAATTAACGTCAACTAGCATGAACAAACAATGAACAATACATTTACTACAGTATTTGTTCATGTTAGTAAATGCATTAGGTCACACTTTATGTTGATGGTCCGTTTGTTGAATTTAAGGTGCATTGCAACTAATTCTCATTAGATTATAAGTAGACTGTTAGGTTGGGGTTAGGGTTAATGTAAGTTGCCTTGTACTTGCAAAGTTTCTAATAGTGAGTTACATGTCTGTTGAAGGAGCAGTATCAACAGATATTAAGCAAAGAGTCTACTAATACTCAAATGGACCCTCAAAATAAAGTGTCAGCATGGATTTACTAACATTAACTAATACAAATTTATTGTAAAGTGTTACTGAAATTTGATTTAATAAAAAATAATATAATTTGGGGAGATGTCTGGGTAGAGGAGTCCCTAAGACTCTTACTCATGTTATTCCCCTTGTCAGGCAATAAGAGAAGAGTGAAGCATCTAGCCTGGCCTTAAAACATCCCCATTGTTTAACTAGATATTAGTGTTTTGCTTTTTTTAAGGAGAGCTGTCGGGGTGGTGGAGGGATGCTACGGTCAAGAGGTGTGACGAGCTGATATTTATAGGAGTTTGGTCTTGCTGATTGGATAATCCGAGTATTAAGTCGTGACGTATCGGGGACGTCTGGAATACTGTTTCCGGGTCCAAGACACTACTCAATTGAGTTGAGAAAATGTTTGCTTATGACTCCTTTTTAGTCCTTTCACACATTAAAGTGAATTTTATATAAAATCATGGTGTACACAACAGTCTCCAGTCTTTCTGCATCACAAACAACAGTATTTTAACTAATTATAAAAAAATTAATCACTTTCTGGCCACCTAGTATTAGGCTTGGATATATATAGAACATTTTCTCAATTCAATTGAGTAGTAACCCTATATTGCAATAATGATTTGCAAAAGTATTACAGCGCTTTGTAAACGTTTATAATTACCAATTGATGAGTCTCCCCATATAGTTTGATAGAGCGCTTGGACCCAGAAGCCACTTTGTGTGTCGTCACACTTAACAAGTGGATAGAATGATTGTCTTCCAGAAATTTGTTCATAAATTATAAATTAACTATTAATTAACTTGGTTTTACAGGGTAGCTGAAAGTGTTAAAAAGCAAAAAAGCAAAAAAAAAAAAAAAAAAAAAACATTGTTTGTACTGATCACAAATAAGGATAACTGATAACTGATAATGAAATAGCCCGGTTGTTTCAGGTCTTACCTCTGTAGAGGTTTTTAGGGGACTGGCATGTGTGTCCGCAGCCATTTGGACAGCATTTCTTCTGTCCTGAACACTCTCCATCTTCCTCACATCCTTCCACACAGGCGGCTGCAAAACCACTTGCTCTCTCCGGTGGCGGACAGTCACCCTGCTTCACCACCATCACCGATCGCAGGAACTCACAGCTCGTCACACACTCCCCATGACGCTTGGGAAACGCATGCTGTGGAGATGCCATAGTACACACACTCTCATCTTAAACATTTTAGCAATTCATTATATGACACTCATTATTATTAGTCTATGATTTTTTTGTTATTTACTGACTACAACACTTTGCACACAGCTATTGAAAACAATTATGAGACCTTTTGAAATCTCTCTGGATTTATAATTTATTTTTTTTATTTTATTCTGTCAACTACTGATGATATTTCTTCCAAATGATAATACAAATATTGTCATTACATCATATTGTCTCATAGAGCATTGTTGCATAACATGACAATTGGTTAAATTAACAAAAAGCACATTTTTTTTATGTTTATTTAATTTTAACCAACAATATACTTTATAAAAAAATAAAAAAAATCAATCAATCAATCAATCAATCAATCAATCAATCAATCAATCAATCAATCAATCAATCAATCAATCAACCAATGAAGTAATGGTTATCAGACATTTGCTGAATAAAGCATTTAACATTTTACTCAAATATACAGTTAATCCATAAAACAAAATTACAAAATGTTCTTCAAGAGGTCTCTTCATTCTTTTTCATAGCTGTATATCTCAAACATGTTCATCCTTCCATTCATTCTTTCCTTTTTCCAAACCATATATCCTGTGTAGGGTCTAGGAATTCTGGAACCTATTCCAGCTTATATTAGAAATACAATTATTGGAAATTATATTACAAGAATATTTATGTGGCCCCAGAGTATGTAATTTCAGAAGAATAATGCAATCTTGGATTCTGCACGAAAAACACAGACATCCATGTACAGTTTAAACCTATATGAAAGGTGTATAGTGTCTTTAGTTGGCTTGGAAACCTGGCTTTTATTGTCTTTGGCACTACTTTCAACTTATGTTGATTACAAGATTTGCATGTGTGGTGAATGAGCGGATTGAATGCTGCTTATTTTTATACAAGTCTAAAATGATGGATGAAGGTCCCAATCATTGCTGGCAAATAAAAGCACTAATATTCACTGTTTTAAGTCCCCAATGCCCTCAATAGTGCATTTATAGCCAAAGAAACAGGAAAAGCTTGATGACACTAGGCCAAGAGTTTTAAAATGTAGAAGAACGCCACAATAACAGGATTATAGACCAACGAGGAATGTTCAAAGAAATTCTCAGACTGTTTAAAAAGAAGATCAGAGCAGAACATTATCATTCTGAACAATAGTAGACCACTTATATGGTAGCCAAGTCTGTCAAGAAAAACAATGGAGGATTAATACTTGGAAAACCAGAACACCAGGGTCAGTCATTTTGTGTTGGATTTTTTTTTACCAGTTAAGAGCACATCCCAGAAACTACTAGATCTGTTAAGAATGCTGCGGTCTGTACCTCACATAAATCTCGACAAGGTCCGTCTTTCAACTCCCAGGAGTCTTTGCATGGCTCCAGGCACTGTGAACAGACAGCAGAGGTTTGGGTTTCAGGAAGCAGTCTCAAATGACTCTACTACAATCACAGACGAATATGTTAAAGTCACAAGCATTTGTTCTGAATAGGGGTGTGGCAATGTACATGTAACAATTGCAGTCATGTTTAATTTTTTTTTTTTTTTTGTGAAAATTTAAATATTAACCCAAACATTACATTAAAGCTATTTTAGTTAAAATATAGATAGATAGATAGATAGATAGATAGATAGATAGATAGATAGATAGATAGATAGATAGATAGATAGATAGATAGATAGATAGATAGATAGATAGATAGATAGATAGATAGATAGATAGATAGATAGATAGATAGATAGATAGATAGATAGATAGATAGATTTCATTTTAAAATGGCAGAGGACACGTGCAGTAAAGTAACATAATATAATTTCTGCAAAGATGTCACCACAGGTGCCTCTTTAGACATATTATTCAGATATCAATCGTTAATTTTTTGGCTGCACTGCACTTAAACACTTTTTTCTATCGATCAAAATATGGAAAGATAACATGCTACTACTAAAACATTCTTGCTGGGGGAAATGCTCACCATTACAGAGTTTTTTGTATTCCTTTGGATATCCACCTCTCAACCTCAAATGCCCATTGTATTGGCAAAAGTAGCTTAGCTACATTACATACACAACACAAGGCATTTTTGCAATTTTAAATTTTAAATCGAAGCAACTTAAATCTAAGTCAATCATATCTTAGTGATCAATAAAACTGTCAATTGAACATATAAGGCATTATTGTTCAATTCAATTATTTACTGCAAATAAGATACTGTACCAAAGAGAAACAAATGACAGTATATTACAGCAAAAAATAAAATAAAATAAATAATAATAATCAAATAAAACCAGGTGTTACACATTTAAAATACAATAGTAGTTTATAGTAAAGAGGAAATATTTAGGAATAATTATATTGTATACATATTTACAACTCTTCATAAATGATTTACGCTACATACAGTAGTATCATAAGTAACTATCATGAATTAATAGTAATTACCTTAGTATACTTTAACCTTTACAACATTAAACTATAAACATAAGTACCACAGTAATTACCACAACTTGATTTGAATACTTCACTATTGTGTAGTTCAAAAACATTACAGTACTATAATGTATGAAAGTATTTTATAAGCACAGCATCAGAATTACAGTAACATTATTGCATCTCAACATGTACTTCTTAAGGTATGGTCACGAGGAATCCTGCTTCAGAAATAACTAGTCTCCCACAGTCATCTTTCCATCAAGCAAATTTCTCATGTTAGCCTAATTGGTTGGCGATGTCACTGACTGGATCAAATAGTGGCAGTAATGCATGCATGTACTTTTATCGGCTGGACACCGGCCTCACAGCTACGTGAATGTTGGTGCTGTCACTCATGGATCCACGATGGGTAAAAATAGCTTGTGTGGATGCTACTGTACTACTGTACAAAAAAAAATGCTTTGCTACTGAAAACTATTTTATTTAGAAAGTAGCAACACTAGTGCCACGCTACTGCAAAATGTATTTAAGCTAGTAGCATCACTACATGTAGTGACACTTCTGCCCAGGATCTCTGGCCACGCTCCTCGGCTGCGTGGGGTGTATGCGCTTAGTGAATGCACGTAACCTGAAGCATTTGTGATCTCACTACCCCAAAATGTTTTTTGTAGTCCCCAAACTTTGTTCGCTGTAGGCTTTGCTAAGCTAACTCTGTAAAAGCCAATGTATTCCTGTGCATTGAACTTTGAGCGTATTACATTCAGTGATGTTGTTTATGTTCACACAGCTACATTACACATCGACTAAAGTTTAAAATAAGATATCGCAGTGGACCACCTCTTTAAGTAAATATTTTCTGTATAGCATTCAATAGATCACAATATTTGAATTGGTCATTAAATTAAACTGATAAATCAATTTATTCAGATAATGATCTGTTAACGAGCATCAGATGTCATTCGAGAAAATTAATTAAATGGAGGGCCCCACTACCTGTCCACTATGCACTCTCTGTGACCACCATTACACCAAGAAATAAATAGGAAAGCTAATAAAGAAGCAGCCTGGAGAGAGAGAGCTGTGGAGAAACCCATTTCAGATACAGCACCTCATTCTAAATTATAGGCATAGAATTTGCAGGAGAATGGGGAACTGATTACTTGAATATTTCTGAAATGACTTGAATTGACATTGATAGCGTAAAACTCCAGACGAGTCTTCTTGCGTGCATCCACTTTTGATGCAATTTGATTGTCATACAGTTACACATTATGACAACTGATATTTCACAGTGTGATCACATAAGGATCATATTTGTACAGTGTGACAAGCTGAAGTAGTAAAGGATTTTTTTTTTAATCATGCTTTGTAAGTGTTTAACATGTAAGTGTTTAGAGTCAGATACCTTCTCACCTGTACAAACACTACCCCCAAAAAGCCTGAATATTTTCTGACCACTGACATTTGCATTCAGCATTTAAATCACATGCCAAAATTCGTTCATCTCACTGTCTACACCTGCCTCTCTCCCTGCCTCTTTCTCCTTCTCTTTCACTTGCCCTCTCATCTTCTCTTCTCCTTTCCTTAAAATTGACACTTCACTTCCTGCATGAGCGAGCGTGGCTGCCTGTGGGGAATTCACATTTCCAATTTCATGCCACGATGAGACACAGCGGTCACTATGGAGCTGGGGCTAAACACTGCTCTGCAGGAGCACACTGGGAGAGAGATGTGAACATTACACATTATGCTGATCTAGGAGCCGTCTTTGCTCCAATGGTCACATTTTCAGAGCAGCATGAATGGCCCCTAACCACCACCTTGGGAAACATGTACACACTTCCTTCCGAAGGAAAGATTCTGCAGACGTCAGTTAGAGATTTTCGCATTTAAATGCTTGTTAATCCAGGGATTTAGTATCAGGAGGAAACGATAAGATTGAGGCGCGTTTCCGTTGGTTTGTGTGTGTGTAAATTGTTAATATATGTGTGTTTGTGTTGGGGTGGGGGACCGAGGTTACCTTGGGGCGATGTTTCTGAATGAGAATGAGAGTGGGAAACACATTTATCTGGGAGGGCAGTAAAAATGCACACCTTTTAAAGACGGCTCGAGCTCGGGTGGTGCGTTTGTCGGAAACTATGAATAATGGGAGAGGCACAGGGGCAGTTAGAGGCGGCAGAGGAGGCGGTTTTATGGAGCTCAGAGTGGCCAGAGCCCTGCTGAGATCGCCTGGAGCTTGTGTGCTCGAACACACGAAACGCTGTCTCAGAGTCGCCCGTGCAGCTGAGAGAATTCTGCTTTGCCTGCTGCTGTTTCCCATCCGTGTAAATACCAACCCATCATGCACAGCACATTACAGAACCCATTTACTAAAGCACTGGCATTTCATGCACTGTGATTGAACATTTATTTACTGGCGTTACAGTCTGGAGTAAGTACAGAACTGTTTTACTGCTTGTTTGATATTTATTTAAATACTTGGATTATCATTAATGTATAATAATAATAATAATAATAATAATAATAATAATTATTATTATTATTATTATTATTATTATTATTATTATTATTATTATTATTATTATTATTATTATTATTATTATTATTAATATTATTATTATTATTAAACAAAAAATTGCACGTATGAAGTGGATAAACTGCCAAACAAGTAAATCAAGTTAATTTAGTTTTTTTTTGCTCATCAGCATTAATGAACTGAGTTGTGCAAAAATAATGAATCAATATTGTTTCCTGTAAAGCTGCTTCATAGTTAAAATTGATTTTCTTTTAACGGCTAACTTTATTATGTCTGGGGCCAAACTGAAACACTTAAAACTATTGCATGTTTTCCCTGATTTATTGCAGTAAATATTATTTTTTTTAAATAATCTGTTCACATAAAGTGCTATTGTGATGTTCATCTGTCAACCTATCTATCTATTTATTTATCCAAATATCAAGCAAATTTAAAATATAAGGCATAAAGAGAGCTGAGTCAAAATAATAACAAACAAAATAACCATAACAGATTTTACATTTTTGTTATACTGTATATATTTGTGTTTTTTTAATACATATTTTTTTAATTTTTTAGATTTTCTCTGCCACACTTTATTTTGATGTAAAGTTCACACAATTAATAAACCGATAACAAACTATCAACTAAGATTAGTTAAACTGCTACTTAGCTTCTTATTAATAGTTAGTAAAGTATATGTGTTATGGTTAGGGAGTTACAGTAAATAAGATCAGACTTTGTAAGTTTGTAAGTTCACTTACAGGCATGTTTTGTATGTGGCTGTGTCTTATTTGTAAGTGCAGGACCATATATGAGGGCTTAAAACTGCAATTAACTAAAACCTCACCACAGACTACACATTGCTGACTTGGATTTTATGCAACTCCAATTCATATTTGCATTTCTTACTTGACATTTTCTCACTCTCTAGCGTAGGCCTAATACTCTTCATCAGTATATCTCTGCTGGATTTTTCAGTTTCCTCCTGTGCCTCTTCAACTCGTTTGTTATCCTCCAAGTCCAGATATATTCAAGGTCGCTGCACTCCTCCATAGAAAAGGCCGATGTTAATGTTTCATCCTGTCACTTGACTTCTTTAAAGTGCCAGTTTTTAACCAGGAGTCCATTTTGATGAATATAGCGAAAAAACAAACAAACAAATGTACCATCACTAAGCTCCTAATAGGAAAATGCGGGGCTATTGTGACGCAAACGTGAAGCCACGAGATGAGTAAGAATACATAGGTTGTAAATTTGAATTTGTAATGTGATTTTTTTCTCTCTCTGTGAATTTCTTTTCTCTTAAAAATATGACATGTGAAGTTTATTCAAGATAAATGCATAAAAATAAAAAAAGATAAAAAATTTCTGCTATTACAAACATTCTCTCGCACACCCCTAGTGGTCAGACTGCTCACCCCTAGGGGTGCACACAC